AATGCACTGATTAGAGAGTCAAACTAACGCGGGAAGTTTGAAAAATAGGATACCGAAACGGACCAAATAGTGAGTAAGTTTTAATTCTATAATTTTTGATTGGGGGGGTGTGGTGTGGGGGGTGGGTGTGGGTGTGTCAAGGTGTGGGTCTCGATCTGTACTGAAAACGCAAAGATCATAATTAAACCCACACACATACCCACACCCTTCTTTTACTTCTGAGAAAAACTTTTGGCTGTCTGTCTGTTGAATCGAAAAAAAAACTAAATTGAAAAGAGCATCCGGTGAAGTCATTTAGATTTCTATCGATTTTTCTCATCATCTTTTCATTCAGTAAAGTTTTTCCAGACTAACTTTCTATTTTTTTCTTGATATTTTAATAAAAAAAATTTGAAGTGCAGTAAGCAGCAAAGGTCGATTTAATCTAGTATAACCTTCTTCGACATAGATCAACATTTGGAAAGACTTGAAAAAGTATTTTCCTCGGACCCATATGTTGGCATTGAAGAGGAACAAATTGCATTGATACCTGCAATGTTACTTCGAGTAGAAATTTTCTGTCGATGTGCTCAACAAGGTTTGGAACTTTTCAAATCATCTTCAACTATTCTTTCAAAAATAAACAAGCACACTGTCATTTCCATTTCAACAGCAACTGGTTCTGGGAAATCAACACTTTTGCCTGCGTTACTAGCCGCTGATGGTTATGGAAAGATTATCGTCACTCAACCTCGTCGATTGGCATGTAATTCTATGTCAGATCGCGTTAACAAGACAATAGGTAAAATAAGTGGTTGGGCTGTTGCCGGAGCTCGTTCGAAAAATGATCATAATACTCACATCATGTATCTCACCGACGGTCTACTCAAAGAATATCTACAGTACAACGAAGGAAAAATAATAAGCGAAGCAGCTAATTGTGTTCGAGGCATGGTTTTCTTCATTGATGAAGTACATGAACGCGCGGTCAACATAGACCTTTGCTTAGCCTTTCTTGCAAAATTGCTACAATTGGATCTCAAAGGAAAAGTGAAAATTATTCTCTCTTCGGCTACAATGGATAATTCTGTACAAGAACTCTTTCAAAAGTTTAACAACGATTATTTTGCCCTTCAAATTGAATCTACACTCCGTTTTCCCGTTCATACGTCTCGCATTAAAATAAATGAAACCATGTTTGACTTAATCGAACGTTTGAAAAAGGATTGTAAGAAACACGAACAAATTTTATGCTTTGTCAAGTCCAATACCGATGTTACTCAATCCATCGATTTACTTAAACAACTGAAAAAGATTGATGCTTTTCCTCTCATTGAATTTCAATCTCCTATCATTCAACAAAAACTCGTTGCTGAGGAACAGATTTTTTTCTCAACTACCGTCGCACAAACATCTCTAACTTTTCCTTCTCTCAAATATGTAATCGATACTGGTATAATCAATATACCAATCTATGATCCACATACAGACACGACTGTTCTCACCAAAATACCTGCTTCTCATTCAACGATTACGCAACGAAAAGGTAGATTAGGACGAACTCAACCAGGGGAATATTTTCCATTGTACAATTCTCACGTAAAACGTCTTGATTTTCCTACACCACAAATTTGTCAAACAGAGTTAAGCAATATAGACTTTGGATTACGAAAATCATCGGAAGAAAAAGATTCACTTGAAACTTTCAAACAATTGTTGCCTAATCAACTTGATCAAGCTATCATTATTCGAGCTCATAATCGATTGAAAAAACTTGGAATCTTGGTCGATGGAAAGCAGTTCACCCAGAAGGGGAAAGATATTGCTCAATTGCCTGATTTTGGTACACTTGAGTTGTCTACTTCGGTTCATGCAGCATTGAACAAATACAATTGTGGTCGAGATGTCATTCTTCTCGCAGCTATTTTAAGTGTTCTGAACACATCGACCATTCTACCTAAACTGTCAAACAAATACAAGAGACCAGAGGAAGGTGATTATATGTCTCTTCTAGCTTTGATGCATGATCTTTCAAGTCAACCTACTAGTATCAATAATCCAGAACTAGCAGATATTCAACATTATCTTAGACGAGCACTTTTACGTTTGAAAATATTTGAAACCTATTTTAGCAATACTAGTACAAAATCAGAATGGCAAAAATCTGCTAAAATATCTTCTGACAACTGGTATAATATAGCTCAAGCTTTTCTCGATGGATATTGGGAAAATGTTTATATTTCACTCGATCGACTACAAGGTCGTAACAAACGATATGGTCGCTACAGTGTAACACCAGAGGAATTCGATGATTGTCGCAAGCAGACAGCGGTCCTAGACAGAGCTACTGTCATTTCTCAAAAATTACACCCCGAATGTGTATTTGCTCGGGATATAATTTGTTCTACGGCTATTCGAACTACTTCTCGCCTTTCCTTTCTCGGCATTATTCCAGCTGCATGGTTAACACACGAAATTGAACGTAAAGTCAAAGTAACTGCTACAGAAATGACGAAATTCAAAGAAGAAATATTTCATTCTATCGATCATCATATCACTTACTCTACGACTGGTCATGAAATTATTTTCAAAGGTCCAACAGGGAAAGTTTTTGACACAGAACAACATGTTCGAGAACAATTATGTAACGAATACAAATGGTTTCTACCAGAGAGAGAATCATGGAAAAATAATTCAATGTTACGAAAAAATATGCCAAAAGTGAAAAGAAACATTTTCATGCCTTTTCTATGGCGTTGGCAAAATGAAAAACAAGTAGAGAAAATGAATATTGAAAAAGAATCGCCTACTCTTCTCAAAATAGTAGCAACATGTAGAGAAAAGGATGCTGAATCTATTGTAGAAGAATTGAATTCTTTTTTCAATTGGCTTAGCCAATGTGAATCTTTTCAAAATGAACAAACGGACAATGTTCAACCACAACAGTTAAACTCGAGCAATTCAGGTATTGAACAACGAATTAAACGAGTTACAGATGCAAATCGAACGTGGGCGGACTTAAAACAAGCTGTAAGTCAAGGAACAAGAGAATCACGAATGGATGTTATTGCATGGACTCTAGTGTGCAAATTTCACTGTAAACTCCATGGTGCTTTTGTACGTGATCGAATTATAAACAATCGTGTTTCACCATCGTCCGATGCAAATCCTGAATCATGGGTAAATTACGAAAGAAAAAGTGGCATACCTGTTCTACATTCAAAAATTACACCATCGACAATCGATTGTCATTTACCAATCCAAGACTATTTTGATATTGAACTTCTTTTGGATGAAATCCACAAATACGAAGATATCGAAGTCAAAGTCTTTCGTCAACATTGCCAATATGTTCTTCTTTTCGATGAAAAAGCACTTACTGGTCCTTTTATTGTAAATTTGACTGAACCTCATGTTGCTCTGGCACAAGGAAGCATCGACTTTGATATCGATAATTTGTATGTAGAACGAGAACATCCTCAGAAGCTTCGTCAACGAGTTGATTTAAGTGGCCCACCTTGTTCATCAGATTTGGAAGAAATAGTAAAGAAGATTCGAATGTATCATTTTAAAGTACTACGACCTATTGACGATGATCGAGTTCGAGAGAGTCTCAAAAAACTCAAGTCGCAAGGCTATTCACAAGATGGTCCACCTCTTACATTGTCTCCCTCGAAATCGAGCTGAAAAAAGCATTCGACGGATGAATCGTTGATGAATTATTCCAGAGCTTTTCTTTACTTTGTATTCTCTAATAAAGAAGAAAGAAAAAGATATATTTGTCAGTGTTTCTAAGCATGTCCAATTGTTAATTTTATGAGAGAAAGCTCTCGAAACTAAATTAAGATTTTATTTCGTAAACTTTAGCGAAGAACTGCACAACAATTTTCTGTATTTCCTCTAATTAGCTTTACATTGAGTAGCTTTTCAAAGAGGAAAATAGCGCGCCTACTCATTGCAATATTAGCTTTGAGTAAAACAAGTTATGAGGCTATTGAAAGAGATTCTAATTATCTTTATTGAAAAGAAATCGACATTCAAACAAGAAATAGATTTCTCAAATAAAATGGGGATTTGATAAAGAGCAATTGAGAAAGCAGGTGTTGATTTGGGCTGAGACAAAATCATCGTTGACTTGGTTGTGATCTGGAATGCAACAAAAGATATTTAGTTGCATATCGGCATGGCCAAGCGTCGTGGAATTTCTGTTTTTGAGATTATAGTCTTTGTAACGTTTTTGTGATGCAATTAATCATTCTGAAATTTTAATCACAGATAGAGCTCGTTTAGATCTATCACCAGTAAAAAATTCATCTATCCATCTTCAACTGCAGAGGAGTTATCTAAAAAAAATAGTAACCGTTAAGAAATTTCAAAACAATTTAATCTGTTTTAGAGTGACCAAGAGTAAATCATTTTTATACGAGAGAGCGAAGAATTCAAACGGATGTTGCATTCAAGAGTTGTTAAGCTGCTAACAACCTGTTAGAATATAAGGTCGCTTCTGATTCATTTTTACTCTATCAAATAAAAAAGCTTAAAATATTGCTCGTTACCGAATTTCATTTTGTTATGGAATTTCATATTTTCTTTAATTTATGCAGAGGAAGGTTTCATGACTTACCGTTTCAAACTTCGAAAGTAAAACTGCTCTTTTTCTGATACGTGAGCACCATAAAAATCGTCTTATCTTTACAGTATGTTAGTTTTATTCTTACAATAAAATCTCATAAAAATTTCTGACTATTTTTCAGACAAATATGAAATGTAAAAACGTAAAAGAACTGTACCATTTGGATGAAATTCGTTGACACATTTTTATTTCGATATGCATGGGGAGAAAAATCAGGGTTTACATCACTCCTAGCATAGTTTACAACAAGTTTCATAATTTACTGATACCACACTTACGATTTTCGGAACGATTTCTGTCGGTTTCCAATTCTAAAGCTTTTCCCGACGAGAGCGCTGATACTTTGCCGCGCCGATATATATCTATGGGAGGATGAGAGGGTGTCTTGCCGTACTTTGCTAAAGTTTACTCTTAAAATCTTAATTTCATATCGAGTACTTTGCACTCTGATAAAATTCACATTTTTCTTTCGCAAACTTTAGCGAAGTACTGCAAGACGATTCTCTGTATGTTCAAAGATGCAGAGACGTATTCGATCTGTAGTGAAAACAAGTTCGATCCATTGTTCTCAACTCTTGCTTTCCAGATAGACTTTGCCGATGGTGTGGGTGTGTGCGTGTCGGTTTGGGTGTGTGGGTGTCGGTGTGGGTGGGTGTGGGGTTTGGGTATGGGTGTACATAAATCAAATAGAAGCAGATCGACCTATCTCTTAATGAAAAGACAAGATCAATCTGCTAATCTCAATTCTTGCTTTTCAGCAATCGATTATGCCAAGAGCTAAATAACAATATAATAATAGATAAATGTGTTTGATTTAAAACTAATGAAAAAATCC